GGAGGGGGTGGGTGTCTGACTAGTGAGCTTAGCATTTTTGGTTAGCGTCTAGTCTTAAAAAAATTATTGTATGAATCCTTTAACTAGTGAATTCGTCAATATGTTGCTTAGTGAATAAAGCGGATAGGTATAGACAGGGGCGGACTTAGTATACAAGTTATGGGTTTGGATAACTTTGGCTCAAACCCTGTATACGTGTTTAAAAATCCACTAAATAAGTACAAATAATAGAATTCAAATTCAGTTGATCAAATCGGCTGTGGTAAAATTTCGAGCTATAACCTGTAAAGTTCAAATCTTGGATCTGCCTCTGGGGTATAGATGATTTACATAGAGAATATGCCTGTTCTCGAGCTTTTGGCTAAGATCAGTAGGATTTATATAGGCGCTTTCTAGTTTGGGATTGAATTGTAACTGATGGGTTTACTGATAAGGAAGATAATTGAAGGGAGGAGGTGGTAGTAATTTACATCATCCCCATTAAATTTTTTGGGTTAATCGACCTGCTGAAAGAATGATTTTTGTACAGTGTGATGATATATACTATTAGAAAGCTTTTTGTATGGAGTGGTCATTGTGTTTTTGAGTTGTCTAGAGGCCTTTGGATGACTCACTATTAATGGAACAATTACCACGAATTCCCGAATAATTCCTCTCATAATATAAAACAAAAGAGTGTTATATGTGACTTGGTAACTTCCTGTCTTTCATGCAATTTCTTTTAAAAAACTTTTTCGTTGTTTACTTGGTTTGCTACACGATTTTTGCCGTAGAAATCAAGTTAAGTCTGTTTAGATGAGAGCAATAACGTATCTGGGGACAACATTTTCTTGTCAGGTTATTTAGCAATTTTATCATTTTAGCATGCATGACAGATGCTTGGGGTGTTGATATGCAACTAACCTACTCTCTTCCCTTTACATTATATACAATCATCGGCTTTTTAGTATTTTATGTGTTCGCAATCAGTTGGTTTTTGAGGACGGTTGATCGAATCGGTAAAAAGGAGCGGCTAAGAGATGGTTAAATGCTGAGCTATCAGAAGCTTGAGTCTTCTCTCATCTTATAGTCCTACAGTTCGAATGACAAATCCGATTTAATTTGTCACTTTTAGTTTTCTCTTTCGGACAAAAGAGTAGGTGGACATGAGTTTGATGAAATAGAATAATTTCCAGTATTGGCTCTTTAATTATCCACCTTAATTCCCTAAAAGTAAGTTCTTAGGCTGTTTTTCTGATATACAAATTTTAATTTATAATATATCTTGAAATAAAGAAAAGAAAAGGAAATTGCATTAAGATTTGGTCTTTTACAATTTATTGACAATAAGAGATGCATGATTCAAGGAGAGAGAGGGAGAGATCGAGAGATGCATGATTTTGCACTTAAGCTGGCTGCAAATTTGCTCCTGTTCGTGTTGATAGGCTTCATCATAACTTGTTAGGCCTTCTGCCTTCTAGGAATAGTCAAGACACAAATCAGCTGCATATACAAATATCTCCTGTATACTTGTGGTCATGCTCAACAATTACGTGTGCACATTGTGTCAGTCAGATGCTTGTGAGCATAATTATCAGATGATATATTCTATGCAATGCGCAGATCTATGGGATAACAGAAGCTTATTTTATAATATATGTAGCATTTCTCCATTCTTCTCCTCATGTGTCTGACATATTATGATGTTTAGGTGGAGCTGAAAGGCTAGTTGTTGATGCTGCTATGGAACTTGCTTCGTTGGGGCACAAAGTTCACATTTTTACTGCACACCATGATAAAAATCGATGTTTTGAAGAGACTCTGTCTGGTCAGAATTCTTACTTTCTGTGCTCCAGTCATATGCCAAAGAAACATCAAGTATGTCCTTACTTGACTGATGTAAATACACATTACACACTTTACAGGTGTCTTTGATGTTACAGTATATGGTGCTTTCCTTCCCCGTCATATCTTCTATCGGCTTCATGCAGTATGTGCATACTTGCGGTGCATGTTTGTTGCTCTCTCCTTGTTGCTTATGTGGCCTTCATTTGATGTAATACTAGCAGATCAGGTCTCTGTTGTCATTCCACTATTGAAGTTAAAGAAGTCTGCAAAGGTATTTGGATGCTCTGATAAAATCAACTATTAAGATATGATCATAGAGATATATGAAATTTATACCTCATGCAGGTTGTATTCTACTGCCATTTTCCAGATCTCTTACTGGCGCAACATACAACTGCTCTTAGGAGGATATATCGGAAACCTATTGACTTCTTAGAAGAAATAACAACAGGTATTTCATGGCCGTCTTGTCTTTTATCATTGGTGTTTGTTTTTCTCATTTGTCAATGTTCTACTTTTTCCCTTATCTGTTCAAACATCTGCTTCTTGTTTATTTGCTTTGCCAAACTATAGGAATGGCAGATTTGATCCTGGTTAACAGCAGGTTTACTGCATCTACTTTTGCGAAGACCTTCAAGAATCTAGATGCACGTGGGATTAAACCAGCTGTTTTATACCCAGCAGTCAATGTGGATCAGTTTGAGAAACCTAATGTTACCAAGTAAGCACATCCTTCTAGTTTGAGATTTGATTGCAATAACACGGAACAATCCCTTCCATGCACTTTCCCCTCTATAAAAAAGAGGGGGGGGGGGGGGGGGGGGAGCTCGAACAAACACAAATAATACATCAGATTTTAGTATAACTTCAGTTGTTCATTTGTTTTAGGTTGAATTTTCTATCCATCAATCGATTTGAGAGGAAAAAGAACATAGAATTGGCGATATCAGCCTTTGCCATGCTTTGCACCCATGGAATGCATGATCGCCAAGGAGTTAACATAGATGATGTTTCCTTGACTGTTGCAGGCAAGTTTATTCAGTTCTTCAGTTGACAATTTCTTGTGTTCTGTTTTGCTCCTCATATCTTTTATTTGATGGTGGTATACTGTTATTTATCTGGTATGGTTGATTTGCATTCTTAAAAGACTCAGAAGGCCATTCTACTTTTGATATCTTGTATATTAGTTAAATTCTTGTGTTCTGTTAGGGGTATGCAGAGTTCATGGAGAGCCAATAAGATATTATGAATTTGTCTGGTGTATATAGCCTGTCTGATTGCATGTATACATAATAAGGATATTTAGTGCGCTGAACCTATACAAATATCATTTATATATATTTTCTTTTTGGTGATTATTGAGATGTTACTCAGTTATCGAAGTTAGCTGGAGAAAATAAGCCTTATTTTCTCTGAGTTAAAGTTCCTAAATTGTTTTGCTGCACTTAATGTTTTGATAAAGCTGTGATATGCCTTCAGCACCGTAGACATGGATTCGAAGTATGCTTCATTAGACGAATTCCAACATACCTGTTGTCCACCATAAGTGGCGGAATATATGCTCAAATAAAATCTCATGTTAAGTAATGAGTTCTCTGCTCTATTCAGTGCTTGATAATCGCTCAGAGAGAATGTCGAAGTAATCTGGAAGAACTGAAAAAAGTTGGCAGAAAGAAGAAGGGTGTTTCTCAGCGGGTCAGATTCAAATTACATCTTGCTCTATGCAGAAAGAAATGCATGCTTGCCCAATGCCTATGTGTTCTTTATACACCAAAGGTACGTCTAATTTTGATATCTCTTCAAACCAGGAAAAAAAACACCATTGTTTTCTTGATAGAGGGACTTGTCGGATGAACATCTCTCTCTCTTTAGAGTAGGTTATCCTTTTACCATCATAGTTGATTGATGTTAGGAAGAGCATTTTTCGCGCCTTTTCTCTTTTTTCTTTTTACCTAGAAAGCGGGCACATTTTTTTCTTTTTGGGAAGAGTAGGATGAGCATTTTGGCATTGTTCCTCTGGAAGCAATGGCAGCCTACAAACCTGTTATTGCCTGCAACAGTGGGGGTCCGGTGGAGTCAGTAAAGCATGGAGTGACCGGCTTCCTCTGTGACCCTAGCCCACGGGAGTTCTCTTTGGCAATGGCTAATCTTATTCAGGATCCTCACATGGCAGAGAAAATGGGGCTAGATGCTCATGAACACGTCACTGAGTCATTCTCTACCAAGATATTTGGCCAGCATCTGAATAGATATCTGGTTGATGTTGCACGAGGTAAGAAGGAATAGCATCCTTTGAGGCTGCTACCTCAAAAGCAGTGGACCTATTAGGAAGTTGTTAGAACAGTCATAGGTTTTTGCACTTCATTGATTGTGATACAGAAATAGCTCCCAAAATTTGGGAAGATATTTTTTTGTTCTTGTAATGTTTATGTAAAGGTATAGATTATTTGTTAAAATAGAAGGTTATGGGTTTTTGAATACAGTTTCTCAGCATTCTTTTACCTTCTACTTAGCATAAGGATTTCATCTGATTGGTGAGTTCTCTCAATGAACTGAATATGTGATATTCTTATGCTAAGAACAATTCAGTGAATGACATTCATCTGATTGTGAATATGCTCGTCCTTAATGAAAATATTAGTATCAATTTTCTGTATTCTTTTAGTATCCCTTCTCTGGACCTGTGTATAGCAGGAACTTAGTACGCCGGACTGCCTTTTCTTTTTGTTGTTTCGATGTTGTGCTCAAACATCGAGTAAGTCCGATATAATCCAAGATGAGGGAAGCTCGATACTGGTCTTGTATTTGTCTAATCAACTGAGAACATTTACAGAAGTTGTGAATATACAATTATCTTACAAGTCAGATTAATTGCAGATTTCACCATATGTCACTGGCATAAGTCTTGTCACAAGTTGAAGATGATTGATGAATCTGTATTTTTTACCTTGACTAACTTTGGAATAACAATTTTAATGGTCTGTTGGCATTCAAACTTGAAGGTTATTAAAAGTAGCCCTCCACTGAAAAAGTAGAATACGAAAAGAGAACGGAAATATTGCTTTTTCCTCCTTTGAGACTTACATACTACTTCCATCCTTAATACTGCATTATGATAATTTACATGCATTTCATATTCTGCTAAAAGCGACTTATTTTGAATTATGTACACCACGTTACGAATTTTCAAAATTATAAATCTAATGAATTAATCAAAAAATTATCAAAGTCTGAAGGAAAAGTTATTAGCCATCGATCAATAGCCGCCAACAAGACCACCAATGGCGATTTGCAAGTTATTCTCATGAACTCATGCTTAGGGCTGGAAGTTCATTTTCTTCATTATTATTTGGTGAGACCTCTACTTTCCCCCATTATGTCAAAAAAGTCAGTAGCAACATGCCCAAAGATTGACAGGCTAGACCAGAAATCAAGCCCAACCATAAGCCCTGCAACATATATTTTCCAAAAAGAGCACTTGGTTAGAGCAACAAAAACTTGGTTACATATGTAGAAAGAGTATAACACCTATGACAGGGAAAGTCTATAGGTTTTTTACGCTATCAGGTTAAAATGACGTGCAACATGTAATAATTGGTAATTTATACAATAAAGCAAATAACCTGCTATAAATAGTGGTCGATGCACGTAAGTTACCTGAGCATGTAGTTTGAACTTGAAAGCAAGAAGACCAGCTATTGGCATGCCAATGAAATAGAAAGTTGCCAAGTTGATGTACATAGCCAAATGCTGCCATCCGCATCCCCTAGTCACACCTGATCAATTAATTTATGTTTTAGCTTGTGCTAGTTAAAGTGTAAAACTAAAGTACAGTGTCTCCCTCACACACAAACACAGTGTAGTGCAACTATAATAAAATATTTAACCCGATAGGATTCCTTGAATGAAATCGAACACAAAGGAGATTAAGAGGAGAGGTGTCATGGAGGCAAATTTGTGAATTATCTCCGTGCTATCGCTGAAGAGGCCAGCCCATGCATTATGCCCAAAACCTAGAGCAAAATCAACTACAATGGCAAGAAGAATAGATAGCTTGAGAGTAACAACCATAGCATTCTTAGCTCTGTCAGTATTTCCAGCTCCTAACTCGTTTGCCACTCTGGTGCTGCATATGTTTTAGAATACACATTTGGTATTAGCAAAAAATTAAGGGAGAACTAACAAAAAAAGGTTCAGAATTTTGACAGCTTTTTGTTGGTCACATTACCTCGCAGCTGCACTCAGACCATAAGATATCATGTAGGCAATGTTTTGCGTATTTACACTGGAAGGTCACAATCCAAAATAATTGGTATTAGCAACCTAAGTTCAGCTTTCGAAACTATGAAAATGTGTCGTTGACAAGGAAAGAAGCTTACCACATTGCAACAACGGAAGTATTTGTTCCTGAGTTTGGCATCAAACCAGCCAATAACACAAGTAGCTCAAAAGCCCAGTACTCCAAACTGGTATACAGCAAAATAGGAAATTATTGATAAGACTTGGACGGCAATGTGTTTTATTGTAATAACACAGAATTTAAGTTTTATTACAGTGTAAAAGATATTTAAAGTCAAGTAACTTTAAGGGAAATTGAAGGTAACTCTATGTAATAACTGTTGATTAGTCACCTGAGAAAATGGTAAGTGGATAACATGCTAACATACACTTATAATGTAAAAGAAATTTATATTGTCAATGCATATTACTTAATAACAAAATGACAGCTAATTCTCACCACACCATGGCAGCAGAGGGCAAAGCCAACTTCAAGTTTGTTAAAATATGACGAAATGGCTCAAATGAGAAACAATTTGGCCTTATATGGCTGAATCTCTTGGAGAAAAGCACGTATATACCCAAAGTGAGGAGTGAGATCCAGATCGAAATTGAAGCTGCTAATGCTGCTCCTTTGAAAGCAAGATCTGTCCAATTTACCAACGCATAGGCAATGCCAATGTGGATAACCAAAAATCCAACTGAACACAAAGCCAGAGGCATGATGATTGACTGTGCCTGAAGAAATCTTAAGATGTTTTGCAGAAAGCTATATGCAAACAATCCAGGAATGAGGAACCTCAAGAACACGCCAGCTTCTTTAGCTATGTCAGGATCTTGATGGAGTAAAACCAGAATTATATCAGAAAACCACCAGATAACAGCAATCACTATAGAAAAGAAGAATGATATGATGCAAGATGTTTGTAGATGCACCCCAGCATTCTGTACATTTTTGCTCCGTATCCTTGGCCGCATAATGTCTCAAGTGCACCACTTAGGCCAACCTAGATCGTTAATCGACAAGTTCAATATTATTTTTTGATATAATTAAGTAACTACATGTTGGGCTGACAGAAACTTCTCGAACAGAATTATTATGCAGAAGATACGAATGCACACACCACGGCAATCTGGGTTGCCACACTCTAGTCATAGAATCATAAGACCCAAACAAGTTAAACCTGTTAGTAGAATGCACCAGTAGTCCTCTCCCACTATGTGTATGACTCCTTAACTGCATGGTGTTGAAACATATCCCGTGATCCCATACACAAAAGAATCATCCACCTTCTAACTAAGAAAACAAGATATATTTCAATGAAGGCATGTACTGCAGTGGGGCGATGATCTCTTGCAGCCACATGAGCATACAATTGAGACTGAGTGTGCAAGGAAAAACTCCTGTTCGAGCGATTAAGCAGAATGTTTTCAATAGGAAATGAAGTTACTGATCCTCTGATAACATTTGAATAATCCTTCTTAGTTTTATCCAAATCATTCTTAATTTTCAAGAAAAAATCACCAAGATACGGATCTTTCAAGGCATCAATTTGAAGTGTGTCGCCCACATTTTCTGTGAAAGTGTATCAAGATACATGTATTCAACAGATTCAAGTTCGGTGTTTCTTCCATTTAAGCCACTATTTAAAGATTCTACATTGGTATCCCTAATTGGCAATTTTTCTAACACCTCACAAGCATCATTCTTGCATTCACCTTCCATGAAAAGCACATTGAGGAACATCTTCTAAACTTCGTCAGATTCTATAAGAATGAAATCTGAAGAAAAGAACCCTAATTCGAACTTATACTCTGCTTAGCTTTCAACTCAAGTAACTAACTGTAACTATCTTCTGACAGTTCTAACTTCTTACTGCATCTGCCTATTCATTTCTTTTTCTCAGCTCTGGAATTGCATCAACATGATAGAACGGTTTCTTGATGGTCCACTTAATTGTTAAAGCTTTAAGTATGAGTGGTACAGACAAGATTTGGAGTACTATCTCAGGCATGAATCCCAGGGGCGAAGCCACCTTTTGCTAAGGGTGGTCTTCCTCGAAATATTATGAAAAGTTACACTGTATATATAAGTAAAATATTGATTTTAGATGTATATAACATATAATGAACACCCTTTGTCGAAAAATTTGTTTACTTCTTTCAAGTCTGAACACCCTTGGAGAAATTTCTGACTTCGCCACTGATGAATTCTTACATGTAAAACTCAGCGTCTTTTAAATATTTTCGAGTTTTCTTGTTTAAATAGATCGATAAGTCATATACAAAAGAACAAACGGATGCTACATCAAAAATAAAAACAAACAAGTTGTCTATATCCTTATCCCACATGAGGCATGCATTATCAGCTTTATTCCCGTAATGTCACTGAAAATCATGTGTTTCCTTAATATAAGGTCTATCAACGTTATAATTGTTTCCGACACCAGTATAATGTAAGAGATTACTTACATTTTTTCTAACTTACTGATGATGGGATATAATTGCGTATTTTAGTCGCTTATTACACTCAAATTTACTGCACTTTGATTGAGTTTGAGCTTTAATCGCTAGTGTTTTGCACTAATGGTGTGTTTTATGCCTTGTAGGAGTGATTCCGAGCTATATAGATGCTATGGAATGAATTCAAGTGATTTGGAGCTTTGAAATCTGAGTAAAAGCTCAAGAAATTAAGCCGGGATCGTGTTTGGGGGTCAACGGATGATAGTTAGAGCGAACAAAGAATCCAGTGGGCATATTGCGCACTGTCTAGTAAAATAGATATAACTTTTTGCTCAGAACTCCATTTGGGCTCCACAATATATGGTTGGAAAGCTAACTCAAAGGGCTACAACTTTCATGTTTTGCGTTTTTCCAAATTCGCAACGGAACAGGGTGAAAAATGCGCGAGCTCATGCGCGAAGTCGCGCGAGTTAAGGAGCTGGAGGCAGAATGATGCGCGAAGTCTTGCCCGAAGGAAGCGCGAGCTCGCGCTAGTCAACCCGGAAAAAGTATCCTTTTTCACATTGGAGAAGGTATAATTGTTTGGGCCCAACCCTACTTGGTATATATACATGAAAAAACGGTATTTTAAGGAAAGAGGACGTTTTTTAGAGGAAAACACAAGCACAGAGCCGCCGTGGAGGCCGGGTTTCGTCTTTTCTTCCTCCAAACTTAGTAATTTTTATGTTTCTTTGTAGGATTTGTTGTTTTTCTACCATGTCTATGTGGAGCTAAACTTCACGTTCTAGGGTTGTGGTTCTTTCATGACTATTGTTATTCGAATATTGATTTTGATTTCTTAGTTTATCATATTGGTTTATTTATTCAATCTTGCACTTAATTATTTGATTGCTTGATCACCAATTGAATACTATCTACGAATCTAGAGTTGAACTCGAAAGTGGGAATTCTAGATTGCATATAGGATTGAGTAGAGCAAGTTGTTAAACCCGGGCCTCGGGGAACGGATTCGCGGTTAGGATAGACATATACCTAATTTCCTTGCTTGGTTGATTTACAGGAATTATAAATGCGTTCTTGTTGATTCTAACTCCATAGACATATAGGCGTTAGGTTAGCTTGAATAGGCGAGTAAGAACTCGACAGATTCTTATGAGCAATATTAACCCTGTCAACCAATAAACTAGATAAATTAGTAGTTAGTTCAATTGAAGAATACAATAGGATTGTTAGATAGCCCATAACCCTAGATCGTTTTCATTACATTGATATCATAAAATTCCCCTCTTTCTCTATTCAAAATTCATTATTTATATTTCTTTAATTAATTAGTTTAGAATCAAATACTTCTAGGTTTAATTCTTGTTTAGATAATTAGGATAGTCTAATTTAGTTGATAGTTAATCACAAGTCCTCGTGGGATCGACATCCGACTTTTAGTCACTTTATTACTTGACGACCGCGTATACTTGCGTGTGCGTTTGGGAGCAACACTTACCAATCATTATTATTAAACACTAGTATACGTACCCGCACGATGCGCGGATCGATTAAAAGAAAAAAAAGCAAACGCTGCAACTAATGCTGCAAGAATAGTACTTGTTTGCAAGAAATACTCTGCAAATTGTAAAAGCAAAAAACGTAGTTAAATGACAAATAATATAAGACTGCAATTTGCAATCCACTCTAGAACATAAGATTTACATCACCTTCATCTATTTGAAATATTAAAACATGAAGCAAATGGACTTCTTTAATGGAATTCAACACTCACTGCTTATACATATCACAAGAAAAAAGAAAGAAAATAAAGAGGAATATATAGGAGCAAGCCTTTAAATATAGGAGCAAGCCTCTATTGTACTGTTTACTTACTAACAGTAATGATGCAAGTCAAAACACCAAAGAGATTCACAAGGACACCTAAAAGTAAATCTCAGCATAAAAAGGTAATAAAGAGATTCGCAAAGGACATCTACAACACAACTGGAGAAACAGCGGCATGTTTATCAAAAAGGGCATGAGGAATAGCCACAGTTCCCATGAACAGGTAGCAGTCATATTACCATCATATTGATAAATATGATAACGAACTGAGCCTAGACAGAAATGCATATACATGTAAAAGAGCATAGAGTTTCCATTAAGGAGCAGAGTTCTAGACACATGACTCGTAGCAAAAAAGCATATAATAGATTTGAAACTTGATATTGGAAGAGTAGTCACGCATCGAAGAGTGCATACACGTCCATGAATATTTAGTCACTTCTTTTCTTACTGCGAGTCATACATGCCTCCATGAAATTGTTGTACTAAGTGAACATTCTAAACATTAGCATTCCTTGGGAGATAGCAATATAAATATAAAGTAGCTAATTACACATTTTGAAATAGCTATATTGATATTTGAAAGGATTTGATAATTCTGTATCAAATAGCTATATTGCTAAACACTTTATATTTATAATATGTTCTTATTTAACTGATTAAGAGAGTACATGCACTTTATAGAATTCTGAAGATATAAATTTGCTAACATTTCTTTTCTTTTAGTTGTTGTAATGTGTCAGCTTTATTCCAAACAAATATTTACATTCTGTTATTCCATAAAACTAATATGAAAATTTAACACCATAACAATTTGATTTTTATATTCAAATAATTTCATTATATCTTTACTAATAACTTGTTCTAACTACTATGTCATACCTAAAAGCAACCAATGAAAAGTGAAATGATGGTTGCTAGTCCTTCTTCCTGCAACTTTACAATTTAAATAAAGTGATTGCCTGCAAATATAGATAGATAATTTAATAACTAAAAAATTACTATTTGACTGGAAAATTTTAGGGAGATTTGTCAGATTACACATTCACATATCAGCAAAATGGAACGATGTAATGCTGTCAAGTTATTTTTCTAGTCTACAAAGTATATTTTCACGACGCTGTTCATTCTCCCAAGAAAAAAAAAAGTGAAAGGTAAAAGTGAAAATGAAGAATATATGTGTATATTCATATGCATTGTTCTATAGTTTCTGGAGATAACGATTGTAGAACTTTTATATGATAATCATTCCACATCTGAAAAATCAGAATAGATGACATTTTGTATGCGTTGGTACAGTTTCAAGAATTTATAAAGTTTCAAGCAAGACCTTAAATTTCAACAAAGTACAACAGAGTCTCTTGTAACTTAACTTAACGCAGAATGTAATTCATTATGGTATGATAGATGAAACTCGATTCTTAGTAGTGTATTTCATGTTTTATTGAACAATTTATAACAGAAAAGAAAGAAGCAAAAAGAACGAAAAGTGAAAAATTGCTTGTGAAGAACGAAAAGAACGAAAAGTTTACTACTGAATATAAACCCTTGAATTCTAATAATCAAGTTTTTCGTGTATCTTTCGAAGAATCCGAGTTTGACCAGATCTAAAAATGTTATTGTCAAATATATGTATCCACATGTATAAGTAAAATAAGTGTCATCTTAAAGGACAAATTAAAAGTGATCGATGTACTTACCTTGCATTCCTTCTCTTCATATATGCCTTGAATTTTAGGGATCCAAACAAATATAAGAAAATAATTGAGTTAAAAAAAAAGAGACCTAAAATATACAATTTAACGGAAATCTGCAAGTTAAATACTGGATTTTGCTACTGACTATCCCATGTATATGCACATAGAAATTAAAAAAAAATATACGAATAGCAAATCAAAAAAGCCAAATTTGCAAATAAAAAATAGAGAAGCAAAACGTGATATATGTATCTATATATCACCGAGAAAGATATTTGAGGATACATATGTCTGGTGCGCTGATTCTTCAATCGAGTTTTGCTACTGATTATCCCATGAATGCACACACATGCAAATTAAAAAAACAGAGTTACCAAAACAAAGTATAAGACAATAACATATTTTTAATACCTTTTCTTCTGGTAGAATCAATTCAATCGAGAATATAGCGTCGGGATTCTAACGATTTGTTACTTCCCACATATTTCCTTTTTGAAATTGTTACAGCCTTGATTAATATTTTTCATAAACCGTATGTTTCCTTGAATTTTTTTAGCGAGATTTGAGTTTAAGAACACGGGAGAAATGGAAGTTGGCCGCCAGTTTGGAGAAGTATGTTTTGAGGGTTTCAATCTGCGTATGTTTCGTGAGTTGTGCGTGGTTGAGCGATTGTCCATTATCCTTAGGTTAGGTTTTGGAGGGAAAGTGGGTTTTAAATGTGATGTTTTAAATCAGTTTTCTTTTTAAAGTTAAAGAGTAAAATACGTAAAAATTTATGGTCTTCATGGTTCAAAAGTAGATGATCGATTTTTGAAGGAGCTTTTATTTCCAAATAATTTTGAATTAGTTAATTTGTTAAAATGTATGTTTTAAGATCATATAATCAATTAGAAATAAATAAATTTGAAAATTTTGAATTAAATAAAGCTCTTTAATAAAAAAAAAGTCCGGTCTTCATGGTTCAAAGTTAAAAGAGTATTTTTAAAATGTGCCATTTTTAATTTTTAATTTTAAATAATAATCTAAATCAGATTTATTTTTTAAAAGTTAATCATTAAAAAACGTATATCTAAAATCAGTTAATTTATTTACAATAAAGAAATACTTATTTTTAAAAAAGTAAAGAAATCTGAAATTTGAAAAACTGAACGTGGGAGTCCAAAAAACGTGGGACTGAAATAGGTACACAAACGTGGACTCTTGGGCACACAAACGTGGGACTTAAAACGTGGACTCAAATTTAAAAAAAAAAAAAAATTAAAACTTGTCCTTTAATTATGCCATGTATAATCAATTTTTTGGAAAAAAAAAAGTTATTATTTTACCGTGAAAATACATAAAAAGGATAGAAAATCTACTATCAAAACGTGTCATGGTAGTTTAACAATGTAAGTGGTAACTGTTACCACTCACGTTTCTTATTATTACTAACAATGTAAGTGGTAACTGTCACGTTTCTGAATTGGCTAGTTATTTAATTTTTGTATTTTTTTTTCTTTGTAAAATTTTTTTGAATCTCCAAATTTATTGGAGTTATGTCCTAAAACATGACACGTGTCGATATGTCGTTTTGACACTTGGCACAATAATGTGGCTTTGCTTCTCCTATTCTATATAGATAGATAGATAGTTACCTATAATTATCTTTTAAGCTGCCTGATCATGTGTAAATGTTTTTTTAACTTAAACTAAGCAATAAGTATGAAAGTTGTAGATATGCATACCATGAAAGAGAAACCAGTAACCATAGCCCAGGAATTAGCAAGATTTGATGCAGCGAGTTCAAGCTTGCCAAGATGACCAGCGAGACAGACACAAGGTTAATGAAACAGAAACAACTGTTCACCACAATCATCGGTAACGAAAACAGCAACTGATTCTAAGCTTCTTTTACGTCGATCACTTTTGCCCTCCACCTGTTTGATGAAATGTCTCTTTCATCGCCACCGCCGGACAGTGATGCTGACTGTAACATGGGACTTTCTGGACTAGATGAACTATTTTCGGAAGCCATTGCCACCTTCTTGTTTTACTCTACTGCCTCAGTTTTGTCGTCCTCCTTTTGATATAGTAGTTTGTTTCTTTAGCGTCAAGAAAACTATAGTTCACAATTCGACCAAAGATAGTTCAGATCGAGTAAGGATAGAGAACTTCTCTTTATAATAGGAGAGTTAGTTGCATAGTAATAACTAAAAAATAAAAAATAAAAAATTGCGGGTTAAATAGTAATATAAATCGTTAAAATAGTACGGTCTACCCAGTTTTCGGACTGATCATTCAAAAATATTCAGGGTTTGCCAAGTCATTGAAAAATAACCACTATTTTGCTGCAACAGAGATCGGTCCAGCATAATATACTGGAGTTTGGTGCACATGTGTACGAACTTCCAGCATATTATGCTGGACCAGTATATTTTGCTGGATCTAGTATAATATACTGGAGACTGGAGCACTGGTGCTCCAAACTCCAGTATATTATGCTTAGGTATTTTTCCGGATTTTGAACAGTGTTTTCGTTCAGATTTATCTTTACATGAAAAGTGGCTAAATTTCGATTACTTTTGAAACTGTAGCTATTTTTGAATGACCACTTGTAAATCTGGCTATTTTTTAATGGGAAATTACCAGCTATGTCCATTTATAAGTAGCTCATTACAAAAATTGGCCAATTGATAAAATATTACTAATATTAGCCTAATTAGCCAATTAGCTATTAGTAGCAAAAAATATCAAATTTTTGCTTTGTTTTGGATGAGTGTTATTAGAATAGATCGGGCAAAACTTAAGGAGCTTGAATCTCAGTTTTGGGATGATTTGGTGAAGTTTTGAGGTGGTTTGAATTGAAAATTCGAAGTAAAAGCTGAACATGAAAAAAATGATATGTGTATCACACTGTGCATCATTTGTGTATCACATATGTATCAATTGTGTATCACATGTATATCCATGTATACCTGTGTGTGTGATACATGCGTGATACATGTTTGATACATGTGTCGCAGAAGACTTTTTTGAACTCGATTTAATTACGAATTTTGATACAAAACCAGTCCAAATCACCTCCAATCTTCCTCAAATTTTGTATATTGACTTATCATATATTTTCAATGAATTTCAACTATACCCATTGAAAAAGTTCCTTTTTTGTTTAGATTTTTGGAATATTGTATAGATTTTTGTATTTCATCACCTTATTTGCTACCCCCTCCATGAAATTTCTTTCCGTCTTGTATCTAATGTTGCTAATCACGCTTAAAAATATGGAAGATGATTTTTGCATGTGATTCTTTGAGAGAAAGAACCCTATTATTTGGTTTTTCAATTTTTGTTGGATAGTTTTGGTAAGTCTATGACTAATGGCTAGAGGTTGGTAAGTTGAGATTTATTTGGTACATTTGTGTAAGTTACCCTTTTTTAATTTCTCCCAATATAATCAAATGGTATTTTCTTTTTCGTATTTATATGTTATATCTCTTCGTTTTATACACTTTTAAGAAAAATGTTAAATAAACCTAATCATAAGATTATACGTTAGTCAAAATTCACCTTTTTTTATACCTGTAACGTGTCACTTGATTACTACTATTTACTAATTGAAGCAGTGATGATTGATTAGAATAATAAAGTAATAAACTAGCAATACTCATATTTATAATAATATAAAATTTATTTTAATTAAAAATAAAAAATTTATTCCTATATAATTAATCTTATTTAGATAAGAATTGAATAAATCAACTACTTTGAATTAGTCTGGCTCATTGTCTTGACTAGCAAACTGGATTTCTCCATTCTCATAGTTCAAATCCGAGACTTATGTTAAGGGTGGAAGAATCTCATCCATTCTGTTATACTCTTTTGATCACGTACTTCATCAACTAAATTAATTTTTTATAAATAGTTGCTTGGATACATTTAAAAAAAAAAAATTAATACCATGTTTAGCTAACCAAACAGGGGCGGATCTAGCCTTAAGCCTAGGGGTGTACATAGGTCGGGTTGGTTCAAATTTTCTAATTACCAAACCAAACCAATTGTATCGGGTTATTAAATCTAAAAACCAAACCAAACCAATAAAAGTCGAGTTTTTCAATCTCGATTTTTCTCGGGTTTTCGGGTTTTTTTTCCCCATAAAGTCTTCATAGCACAAAATATAGAATTTGTGCTCCAAATATTTCTTTAATCCTAGTAAGATAGAACTACATATGGTGTTTTTCAATAAAATAACATAAATATGAGATGAGTCATGTCATTGTTCTAAAATATTCAACAACAAGTATAATAAAATCACATAAAATAAGTATCATAAATATAAACTATAATGAAAACAAACAAAATTTAAAATTACTAATAAGTGCTAAAATAAGTACGATTAATAAGTACTATTATTTACATGACTAAACACTATTAGAAAAATAAGTTATGCATTTTATCTAAACCACAGAAAAACTAAAAAATAGATATGTAACACTATTTTCATTCAAAGTATAATTGAATTGAATGTCTTTTATTAGCATTAGTATTGATTGGATATTGGTTTAGGATTTATTTGAGTTACTAACATNTCGGACGTCCTGATCCGGACAAACCTGCTCATCCAGCCTCGATCTTTGTCTTCATCGATGCTGGAGAATGGGGGTTTGCTAGCCCGGCGGGCCAGTTTTATTAATCCCCCTCGAAATATTCGAGGGCTGTATAATCGAAGAAGATGGTCGAGGGTAAAGGGAAAATCGCCCTCGACTCTCTCGACAAAAAACCGAAAGAGATATACGATCCGCCACATCGAGGGGTGGACCTGACCTAAGGTCACCTCGTACCGCCGGCAGAACTCCACTATAATGGGTTCTAAGGGGCCTAAGGTGAAGGGATATGTATATACACTAAGATACCCTTCAACGTGAGTCATAATCGACTCGTCACGGGAAGGGGCGACCAGGTCTTTCCCTTCCCATCTACATTCAGCCCTCACCCGGTCTAGGCAACCGGGAGTGATTAGGCTGATATACTCCGATGCCGGTTCGCCGCGGCCCGGGACCGATGATGGGTTCTCAACCTGGAAGTCGGCAGATACCAAGCAACCAGTCGGTGTAAAAGCTTTCAATGGGGGTTCTGGCGCAGGTTCATCAGATCTAGCGGGGCTCGCAGACGAGCTTGGTCTAGAAGGAACACTTTGTGAAGTTTTCGCCATTTCTTGAAGCTTTACGAAGAGATGAAAAGAAAATACAACCAACGAAAAATTTGAGAAAGATAAGAAGTGTTGAACCTGGAAGGGTCGTTTATACTTTTCCCATGAGGCGGCGGCACGAATCGCGAAGTTACAGACACGAAGCGACAGATAATTAAGAGAAGCATTAAATGCCTGCAGCAGACGTGGTCAGAGCACTCGATGGCTTTTTCAGCTGGCGTATGGCCATACGTCACGGGCATCACGTCACCGATCATATCGTTTATTATCATTACTCTCTAATAAACGAGGGGACTATCTGTATTGGGTGATACCCTTTTTGCTTGAGCCCGACCGGGTTGGGTCCGGTCCGGGGCAAGTCGGCGCCATCGAACCCGACCTGGATGCAAGGTAGAACGACGGCCACGTCAACAACCGAGGTCGAGTCATTTCGAGACCGTTGCAGAGCTCGATATGAGTCACCACCGGATGGAGAAACACACAAGGTCGGAAGCCGGACTCGTAACGGATAACCAAGCGTCGCCGGATATCTCGCCCAAACGTGATTTTCTCAACCACTTCAGGCCATTAAGGCGTAATTACAGGGATCCACGATGTAATTAATTTACCTACCTTATTTTTACCCTTAACCAGAATGTATAAAAGGGGAGAAGACCCCATAAAGAGGGGATCAGAAACCATTACACTACAGTACCATCTCTCTCAATTCTTGTACGCTATCAAGCACAATTGTTCTAAGCAATATTATATTTTGCGATTATTTACTTTAACAGCAATTGTTGAGTCTTTATCTTTTATTTTCCTCAATCCAAACCTTTTGTATCTTTTAGTTCACGGATCCTTAAAACCCCATATAAATTCAATTGTTATCCGGATTCCAGGAAAAAGCCAGTGAAATGGGTTTCTTTGGTCTGTAAAACACCATATTGCAATTTTGTTTAAGCTCTTTCTATGTTGTGAGATGCAATATGTAAGTAGGCTTCTTACACCAATAGTCGGAGACCAGAGATGACAGTGTAGTTTGTGATTAGTTTTTGACAGTCTTTTTCTCGCCCTCATGTATCAGCTAGCTTAACTAGGTATAATTTTTTTGTATCAAAGATACCTGTTAAAATTCTTGTTAATTGATGAAGTAATTAAAATTTTTTAAGGAACTTTTAACACATATTAAAGGTGTTACATTTGCTGTTCAAGTAATTAATTTGTTGGATCTCACAACATAGAAAGAGCTTAAACAAAATTGCAATATGGTGTTTTACAGACCAAAGAAACCCATTTCACTGGCTTTTTCCTGGAATCCGGATAACAATTGAATTTATATGGGGTTTTAAGGATCCGTGAACTAAAAGATACAAAAGGTTTGGATTGAGGAAAATAAAAGATAAAGACTCAACAATTGCTGTTAAAGTAAATAATCGCAAAATATAATATTGCTTAGAACAATTGTGCTTGATAGCGTACAAGAATTGAGAGAGATGGTACTGTAGTGTAATGGTTTCTGATCCCCTCTTTATGGGGTCTTCTCCCCTTTTATACATTCTGGTTAAGGGTAAAAATAAGGTAGGTAAATTAATTACATCGTGGATCCCTGTAATTACGCCTTAATGGCCTGAAGTGGTTGAGAAAATCACGTTTGGGCGAGATATCCGGCGACGCTTGGTTATCCGTTACGAGTCCGGCTTCCGACCTTGTGTGTTTCTCCATCCGGTGGTGACTCATATCGAGCTCTGCAACGGTCTCGAAATGACTCGACCTCGGTTGTTGACGTGGCCGTCGTTCTACCTTGCATCCAGGTCGGGTTCGATGGCCCCGACTTGCCCCGGACCGGACCCAACCCGGTCGGGCTCAAGCAAAAAGGGTATCACCCAATACAGATAGTCCCCTCGTTTATTAGAGAGTAATGATAATAAACGATATGATCGGTGACGTGATGCCCGTGACGTATGGCCATACGCCAGCTGAAAAAGCCATCGAGTGCTCT